AAAAGCACCTGTGGAGAATGCATCTAGGTTGCCGCATCACTAAAAGGGAAGGAAGAAGTTGGATATGTTTCTTTTTATTATTATTTTTTGCCTTCTACAGGAGCAAAAGCCTAGTCGGCCAGGCGTAGCAAGGCGCGGGAAGCGTACACGGCTGCGGTACTCCCCGAAGTTCAAGAAGAGACAAGGCCGAGGCAACTTTTGCCTTTGTGTTGGAGCGCGCCTCGCAAGGGCCGAGCAGGGTGGCGTGCATCCATTCGGCCAGCGAACCCTCTTTGCTGCCTCCCTGAGGTGGCCTGCCGGAGGCAATCGAGCGGGAGCGAGAGAGCGCCACCATCGCCGTCGCCCTCCCTCGTGGGTGGCGCCTAGCTTGCCGGGGTCGCCCAAATCGCCTCAGAAACGGTCAGGCGGCCAAGGAAAAGCCCAGAGTCGCGCCCATCGCCAATCGATCACGGCCTCCTGCTGTCAGCTCGGGTCACAGAGGCTGTTCCGTGGCACCCGCACCCCGCGCCGGCTCCTCCAGCGTGAGATAAGAAACTGGCACCGCAACTCCGAGCGTGCGCCTTGGCACGTTGCTCACTTTCGCGGAGTGCCCCGTCCACGGGGGGCTGTGAGTCAGAGTGGTGGGGCGAGAGGGTGTGCGAGGGGGATCGTCGAAAAGACTGCGCGGAGCACGTGCCGAGGAGAGGGACATCGTACGCGCAGACTTGAGACCCCGGTCACGCACCGCCTGCAGACGCCGCGAGAGTTTGTCCTGCGCGTCCCAGCTTAGCAGCCTCTCGCGGAGAGGCGCCCTATAGCGATTGTCAATACCAACCTCCATGCGCCGCGCAAACTCCTCTGCTAAAATAACACGACGCAGCCTGCGCTCCTCAAGCATGAGCAGCTGTTGTCTATAGTGCAGCCTCAGCGGCATGAGACTGCGCTCCACCTGCTCCGCAGCCAGTCCCTTCCACTTAACGACAAACTCGGCATCGCCGGTGTGCTGTGGGCCATTCATGGCACGGTCGCGCCGTCCCTCCTTCACGGGAGCAGCATCGAGCACGCCGGCAGTGGCAGGCGGGGGGCCAAAGGGCGGCAAATCCGCCAAGGCGCCACGCCCCTCATCCAAGCCACCCTCCAAGACGGGAATCAAGCGGGGGATGCGATGATGCCGCGGCCGGGTGGTAGGAATGAGGGCCTCACTGTACGCCCCATTGCCTAACTGTGTGAAACTTGTCCTGGTGCTCACGCTCATGGTGGGTTCCCCGCGGCCCTCCCAGGAGTCCTCGTTCGTGTACCATTCGTTAAGTGGGGGGGGGGGGGGGTCAATAAAAACAAAAACAAAAACAAAAAAGCACGGCAAATTTGGCAGCAAATAAAACAGCAACAGCAACAACAGCACCCACAGTGGCAGACGCAGAGACATCACATCATGCACACAATACTTAAGGAAACACAGACACGAAGCGACGGGGAGTGATGGAGAGAATTAACGAAGTTGGCTCTTGACCTCTCACACCACTCACCACCGCCCCACTGAGAAAGAAGCGGAGAATTCCATCTATGCCGCACGCGAGGAGCCATATCCTGCGTCAATGGGAGTAATGATAATTTTTTTAAAAAGCCGATCCCGTGTTTAGAAGGAGCATCCTCCATTAGCAGAGGTTGGGGGTCTCGCCATAACGAGACGATACGGAAGGAGTCAGACGAGTTGCAACGGCGTTTCACCGAGGACGACGCCAGCCGCTCTATCCGGCTCTGGTGGACCTTCCAATGGCTCCAGCGAATGAAAAAAATGACGTTGAAAGAAACGCACGTAGACCACGTCGTTACCACTGCTCTCTTTGTCGCCTCCCTTGGGGTGCACACGGCAGGAGACTCCATCGCCATCAAAGTCTTGCGGCCGAACTACGGCCAGCGTACTGCCACGGACTTGCTCACACCGCAGGTCAGCGGCGTCCCAACTGGGTGAAGCAGCCGCACTATCAGTCCCGCTGTCAGTTGACCTGCACCACATCACCGCACTTTTGTCATGGCCTTGCTTCTCCTCCTCCTCCTCTGACCGCGTCTCATCAACGTCCCTGTGGAAGAGAAACCGCGTCACGGCGCTCGTCAGGCCCCGGAGAATGCCCTCGTGGCTAGCTCCGCTCGCCGTGTCCAGGTACGGGTTAGGGTAGCGGTGGAAGAAGGGAAACCGACGGGAGTCAATTATCGGCACGTTGGCTGTGATGTCATAGGGAAAAACAAGCGGCTCCACCTCGATCTTATTAAAGTCAAACGTATCAAACTCAAAACGGCGGTTCAGCCACACTGGGGGGCCGTCCCGCACCCACTCCACCACTTGTATCAGTTTGGGTCTTGCCCATTCCCAGAACTCGCTGCTTCGCCTCACACGCCAGGCCACCACCTGGCAGACAGGCCAGTCGAGGTACACAAAGAAGTCGCATTCATCAACATTGGCAATGGCCATTTGGCCCTGCAGCTGGCAGAGGTAATGCAGCGGAATACCAAACGGCTGGTAGTTCGGTTTTGACCCGTCGTACAGAGAATGAACAGGCGACTTGATCTCTAGTAGTCGCCGCACTTGCTGCCTCCGGCTGCCTGCTGGTGCCACCGTTGGCTCCTTACTTCGCCTCCACTTGGAGTGGAACGGCACCCGCACACTCACAAGCGTCTTTGGGGAGTTGTGTTCACTCTCGCTTTTAACTTCATCAGCGGGTCTGGGAGGTGACGCCTCCCAGCGGGAAAGAATGCGCCCATCCGGCGAGCAGCCCAACAGTCGGTCACTTGTCAGGAAGAACCCTCCGTCACTCACGGCGGCACCCGTTAAAAGCTCATACAGCGCACGCGCCTTGGGCTCGGTTTTAATGCCATGATCCGTGCTTGCATTGCCCTTAAACTCTAACTCCGTCCCGACCACGTTGCGCAGGTAGTCTACAAAGTCCACGACGCGTCCACAGAAGCCGAGAGCCATGCCGAACTGCGACGCGGACAACCCAAACGGAGAATCCTCCTTCCATTTAAGCTTTTCAGGCTGCTGCGCCATGAGGCTCAGCACGGCCGTTCACCCCTAATCGTGTATCCAGGCATGCCCGCGTGCGTCACACGTGTTGTAATAAATAATGATAAAACGCAGAAGTCCACAGAGAGGCATACACACCTGTACAAAGATACAAGCATAGAGGTGAAGATACGCATGGATACATAGATAGAGCTCTGCAGATGCAGAGAAAGTAAAAAAAAAATGAACGAGGATGAAGTGAAGAAAGAACCAAAGGGCCCTGCTATCAAAGTTGCTGGGGCTTCGGCAAAGAGAAAGTTGACTTTGCCCACGCAACCAGTTGCCACGGCAGAAGAAAAAAAAATCAATACGCAAGAATCAAGGAGGAAACAATAATAGTAAATAATAATAACATTAATAATAATAATAATAATAACAGAATTCATGTCGTGGACGTTACGAGGGGTCCCGGGGGGTCACAGCGCAGGATACGCCGTCGCAACTCACATGACACAGTCTCCTGCTCTGTCAATTTTCTGTTCTGCAACACTTCTACACGAAACAAGGCCCTGTTCTCATTTCCCTGTCGGACGATGCCCAAACGAACGAACGACAATGGAGTGTAAAAAAGCTCTGCCGCCTCCGTCAGCAGCTTCTCCGGGTCGTGTGGCTGGTTGTACCAGTGCAGCGCGTTTCCTGCTCTATGTCCGCCTCTCCCATATACAGGGAGGGTGATGAACGTCGCCACCTTTGCGCTTTTGAGTAGGGAGATGAGGGCACGCTGGAACGCGCGCTTCGTCGGGGCGGGCGGGAAGCGATCAAAGAGGGACACAACCACCTGGTAGTCCGCCAGTATGTGACGGCCAGCCACGTTTTCAAGTCGAACTAGTGACATTGTCGGCGATGCACAGAGAAAGAGGTGTGGCTTTTCCACGCCAGCGTTGGCCGCTTGCATGAAATTCCACCTCGTCTCCATCGCCGCTAACACCTGATGCGGGGGGTTACATTCGCCTCGCCTCCTATTCACCTGCGGGCAGCCGCCGAGAGCCACACTCGTCACAGAAGACTCTGGTACAAACCTTGCGAGAGACAAAGTCAAGTAGCCGTCGTCGGCATCGTACACTAAGATCTGCAGCGGCGCAAAGGGAGATTTCAGACTTTTCGTATCTTCCACGCCCGTGTCGTTCGCAGGAGCACGCAGCGGCACATCCACGCGGATGCTGTAATAAATGTGCGTCCACTCCTTCAGGGCTGCCAGGCGCTCCCCTCCCCATGGACGCAGGAAGGGGGCAGGTTTCTTGAACGAGATGGCTTCCATGCGGTGCACGGCGTGCCGCAGCACCGCGTCGTCCATCGGCGCGCCCTGCGGCGCGGGGCCTCCGGCGGCGGCAAGAGAGACGAGGCGAGGGGCACTGGGCAGGGGCCACCGGCCAACGGTGCACGAGACGACGACAAACAAGCCGAAAAAGCCGCACAGCACCAGCGCCTTCACCAGGGGAAATCTGGCGGTGCGCCCCAAGGGCGCGAGGCGCACGCCGCCCCACTCCCCCCGCGACCTCCCGTGCATGCCTGGGAGGCGGCCAAATTCAGCGAGGAAAGTACGTCGCCCCTGCGCGGCTACTTGTACCCTCACTAACAAACCACCAACTGCAAAAAAAAAACCTGGAGCAATAAACCCTCCTCGCTCCCCACTCTCGTGGAGTAACCGACAAAAAAAAGAGCAAGGATGGTAGCGGAAGCAAGGAAACAGATGCAGTCAACGAAGAAGCTGCATCGCAATCACGCAAGACAACAACCACAACACCGACGTGTTGGGAAGAGGCCCCACGCTTCAATGCTGCATTACAAAAAGCGCACTTCCAATCATTTTTATCTCATCCACCTCCGCTCGTCTTCGTCCGGCCGTCGATGCGGCGTCGTATCCCAACCTGCGTGTGGCCCCGCACGGAACTACCGCAGACAGGAGCGCAAACGGAGAGGAGTAACGCGCGTCAACGGCCATCAGAGGCCACGCATTTGTACATCAGCCGTCACACCACGGGGCCGGCGGAAGCTACCAAGAGGTAGAGGAGAAAACAACCAAACGAGGGGAAGCAAAGAAGAAACAAAAAAAAAAGGGGGGGGGATGAAACTACAAAATTTTTCTATCGCGTCTATGATGCAGGATGCAACGCAATCCTCTGCTCTGCGGAGCAACCAGAAGTTGGAGAATAAGATAGTTTGGCCCAGCAAGCACACACAACATATGTAAAAAATTTAAAGACCAAAAATAAAAGAAAACAAAGAGTCCACCTGCCCTAATTTTACCGCGGTTGCTTCTATGATGGTGGCAAATAAGCTGGCATTCTCCCCAGTCTATAGGTGTTAGCGATACGGAAGTAGCGAACACCCGCGCCCCTGCCGTGAAGGAAAAAAACAACAACAACAGGCATGCACAAAGACAGGAACCATCTATCTTAGTGGTGGGTGCAGTCCACTTCTCCGGTACTGGGCCTTGTCATCCTTGGACATGGCCCCCGCAGGCACGACGTTCTTCACGGCGTTGTTGACATTCTGCAGCCAAATGCGCACGCCAAAGATGCGGTAGAGCTCGCTGTTAAGCTGCCGAAAGTCGATGGAGCAGGAGGATTCGTAGTAAAAGCTGATCTTCTGTTGGTCAAACTGGTACTCGCAGTCCACCACATCCATTTCAAGCCTAAGACGTGTGACAATCTCTCGGCACGTCTTCAGTGCAAGGTTCTCCTTCCGGGAAATCTCACCAAAGAGGCGCTCGACCTCCTCCTCGCTCGCCACGCGCAAAACGCGACTGAGATCCGACTTCATTCGGGCAACATTCACCACGGTGCCGTCCAGGCTCGCCTCGCGAACGAAGCAGCCCTTTTCCGCGCTCCACTCGCTGCACTGGTTCACAACCCCGCAGTCAAGCCCCCGGTCACCCTGCACTATTGCGTACTGGCCAGGGGCAATGAAAATATTGCTCTCGCAGCGCTTCATACGTTGACACTTGAACTCCACCAATACAATGAAACAGTCGCAGTTTGGCCAACTAGGCTGTTCGGCACCACGCCCTCCACCCGGGACCGCCACTGCAGGTGGGGGCGACTTCTTATGAGCGTAGCCCCTCGTCTCCACCGCCCTCGGCACCTCTGGAGTTGGTGCTTCGGCCGTTGCCGCGTCAGGCAGCTGGGCATCCCGTGCGGCATCGCCCCGATGCGCATGGGGATGCTGCTGTTGGAGGGCGGTGTTAAACAAAGATACCACATTTTTCTCCTCGCAAAACGCAGGAAGCGGGGGTTCTGCAGACTCCGCCACGTGTCTTGGAAAAGACGACTGCGATTGCTGAACCACCAACATGGACAACAAGTCGTGTATGACGTCAAACTTGTGTGAGAGTTCATCCACCTTCCTCGACAGTTCCTCAAGGCTGGCGCCAGTGACGACGAGCTTCTCCCCGGACTTGTGTGTCTCGCTCTGCGGAAGCGCCCGGCGCTTGCTCGGTGCCGTATTTGTCACATCCTGGAAGGAAGTCTTCTCCATTTTCCGCGGTTACCTCGCACTCGCCACGCCTTCTTAACTGCAGAGAAGCAAATGGAAGGCAAGTGTAACATGCATGCGGCAGGAAGGGAGGCAGTCGCCTCTGTGCAGCGACAAGCGGAAGACGATGCAGGAAGCACTCAAAGAGAACAACTCCCTCTCTCTCTCTCACTCTCTCGCTCTACCTCCCTCTCCCCCCATTACTAACAGAGTGAGAACAACAAGAAAGTAGCAGAAGTAAAAAAAACACACACATTCCCCGCTGCCCATAGATCCGAAAAGCCTTGTAAGACATTCAATGGAGCTTGGACGCAGCTGCCTACATCCAACCTTCGCGCTCTGAGAGATAAAACGGCTGTGCAGAGTCGCCCCCACCACCGTCTTCGCCTCCCGCCGCGAAACCGATCCAAAAAAGGAGAACATCTTCAAGGCGCTGCACCAAAGTAGCCCGTGCCTTCGCATGCGAAGCCGCATCCCCCAAGAGCGGGGGTTTGATTGTCTTGACCACCGGCGTCACCTCCGCAAGCTGCAGGAACGGCTTCTCTGTGTGAAACGAGGCAACGCTCGCTGTGTGCAGACGCACGCCGGAGAGCTGCTCCACGCGGAGGTAGAGCAGCTCGGGGTCCAACTCCGAGGTGTCAAACGGCACCTGCACACCATAGAAGCTCTCCAACGCGGGGCCCAACTCCCGTGCCCAGAATTGTTTTGCCTTGGCGCCTGAAGACTGCAGCAGACCCAGGAGAAATTCCTGGCAGACCGACTTTACCTCGTCCTCCCCCTGCGCAGTGCGGCGGAGCCTCTCGCGAAGCAGACGCACTGCGGTTCGTGCGATCATCTCAACCTCACAGTAGTGTGCCACGGCGAATCGAGCAGCCTGCGGAAGGCGATAATATACAAACGGAAGAAAACGCATGTTGAGCCCATTTGCATGGAAAATTCTGGTAATGGAAGGCTCGAGTAAAAGACCCTTTGGCCCCCGAGCCGCGGTGTCACACTTCACGGCATCGCAGAAGAGACGACGCGCGTCCTCCTTCGCTTCAGACAGCCGCCGTGTGTAGCAGTGGGAGCAAATGCAGCAGCACTTCTCTCGACTGCGGCACACCACAAATCGCAACTCATTCTCCATCGTGCTGGAGCAGAGACTACACGGCGCTGGGTCTTGCCGAGGGATGTCAACCGCCCGGTGAAGGCCAATCATCGCCGCCACCGCAGGGATCAACGCGTCCCGCACCCACTCCGCTGCTTCCACCGCATCTGCGTTGTCCTCCGCGCTTGCAACGTCCTGCACAAAGGCGTGTGGACTCAAAGGCTTACCGTAGGAAAGAAGAAATTCGGGCCTAAACCGCAAAGCTGCCGCGGCATCGGCTTCGCCGCTAACACTGGTAAGCAATTCACAAGCCGGAAGGAGACGCGAGGTGTTCATGGCGTACAGTCGCTTGTCGTGGCCCGCCACAACAGCCATACCTAGGGGCATTGTAACCGGCACCACATCCCCCGTGGCCAGATTTACATGCGGTTGCTTCAAACCAAGCGCCCGCCCCAGATCCTGCAGCTGGAATTTCACGAGCTGCGGTGCGTCCAGCGGGCACTCCCGCTCCTGCAGAGAGAAAACGTGCACGATATTTTTAACCTCAAGGGGTGGAATGGCCATCACAAGGCAACGGAACCCGGCGAAGGTGATCAGGGCACTTGGCGGGGAATACAGTAGCCGCTTTGAACCCTCCAGCGCAATAAGCCGCATAGCCTGCATGGCCTGTGACGCCTGTCGCCATGCATCTGCGTCCCCTTTACAGTTCCCACTTCCATCATCAAGGACAAGCCTGACAAGGAGATTATTGTAAATAAAGAAGCCAAGGGCGCCATCTATCGGTCCCTTAGCCACACGATCTGAGGAGGGACGGTGCATGTCTGTAAGGACGCTGAGCGCCGCCTCTTCGGCGGCCTTTGAAAACTCACTCATAAATGTGTGCAACTTTTCACTAGCAGAAGCGCTCTCTTCCCACCTCCCAAACAAGACCAGCTCCACGAGCTGTTGATACTTTGCATTCCAATCCGGTCCTTTGTTGGGCGCGGTAGAGCAAATGCGCCAACCCTCCTCCAAGAGCCGCAGCTCACGCAAAACGGCGTCACTTGACGGTACGACCCTCAAACCCGCCTCCACCGGCGCCACGACACGGCACGGCACAGACGCCCCGTCCTGCCAGTCGGTCTCCGAAGAGCCCTGGGCAACCGCACGCTCATCATACACTCTCTGCCATCGCGCACAGTCGTCGTTAGTTTCTGTTTCCCGCGTGGCCGACAAAAGTGCCCAGACAATTTCCTCCTCAGACGATTTCAACGCAATCCACCAGCTGCCGAAGGGATCCATGTAGCGTCGGAGCTCGCGGACAACCGTGCCAGAGGGCACTTCACCTACCACGTCACCGAGCGGCCCGTGGTAGAGTGAAGCAGAAGCCCCATGCAACTGCCAGTAGATGACCGGCGCCTTCGGAGACGCTGAAGCCGCTGCTTGTCTCGCCGCACTCGGGGAGGATTGCAACGGCGCCAATGCATTGCGGCCACGCGCCACCGCTTCCCGCCTGCCGCCCCCCTGCTTGTGTGGTGGCAGTCGCGCCATTGCGACGGGAAAGGGGCGAAAACCACAGAAGAAAAAAAAACAACTATTGGCTACGCGGTAGAAGAGGACGGCCCGGATAAAGGAAGAAGAGCGCACGAAAGAAAGAAATAGTGTCCCCAAGGCCCAGAGCAAATCAACCACCCGCCACACTGCGTCCCGAAGGCGCCCTTACGTTTGCCAGAGCTACTCAAAGCAAACGTCCGAAGAAACAAGGCCACGGGAGAGAAGAACAAAGAGCAAAAAGGAAACAAAAAACTGGCGTTGACCGTAAACACCTATACCCCCTTGCACACCATGCGTACTCACTCGCTTGCCTCTGGGAACGGCGGGTGCGGCGGCGCCGCACATCCCACAACGAACACCGATGGGTTTGTTTTACTCCACAAACACCACAAGACAGTAGCGGAGAAAAAGAAACCAGCCACCAACGATCAACACACACGCACACACGGCAGCCCCACGCCGTGCAGTTGTCATTCCCCCCGCATGAGCAACTTTAACCGGCACTTCCGTTACCTTCGACTATGGCTGACGCTTTTAAATTCCTTTCTCGGCTAACTCCGGTAAACAGGGCCAAACTTCATCGAATAATGAGCAGTACACGTCTCTCCAGGCCGCACAAGTACCGCGAGGAATGCCATTCCCCAAGCAATAACTTTCCCATTTTCCTCACGGGCACAACGCCCACAAACAAACAAATAAAAGAAGACTAAACCCGCGACTTCGACTGAGCAAAGGAAAGGATTATACATGAACCGAAAAGACACTTTACCCAAACAAGACCGAAAAAGAACACAAAAAAGAAACATAAAAAAAAAAGCTGCTGCAGACGACACCGAAAGCCATCCAGGCCCTATCCACCTCACATTGTAGAGCAAGTCTGCGCCATTCCTGCAGGCTTGGCAAGCTGGTTTAAAAATTCATCCTCCCTCACTTTTCCCGTCAAGAGTTTTTTGCAGTACGCCGCACTCACCGCAGCTGACGTTGAAAGGCCATCACCGAGGAAATGACGAACATCCACGTTGTATTCCAGGACCATCTGTAGACGCAGCTGCTGTTTTGTCATGCGAACGGTTGGTCGTGGTGGTGGGGCATTCTTATTGCGTCTCTGAAACGCATGAAGGGCCTCCGCCTGCGACTGGAGCATGTCGGAAACGTACTTCCACAAGAAGCAGAATAAAGCCACGACATCTTGCTCCCGCATCGTCGGAACCTTTTTGCTATTGGAAGCCACCGCATCGTGTGTCACTGACGCCTGTGCCTCTGCCTCTCCGGGGGAGGATGCAACAACCTTTTCGCCCTTTTCCGCGTCCTCCCTCCCTTTTACAGACTTAGCCCGCGTCGGCGCACGCAACAAACGATCCTTCAGCACGCCGAACGCCATCTGCATAAACACATGGTGGGAGAGAGAGACGGGGATGGGGTCCCCAACAACCAAAAAATTTGGGCACTGGCCGGGAGGCGATTTTGGGTCCCGCTCGTACCACAAAAGGACGTAGTCGCAGCGCAGCCTGTTTTGCAGCTGCTGCTGTTCATGGAAGTAGGGCGATGGGCCGCGCCTCCTCCCCCGCGACGAGGGATGCGGCTCCTCCTCTCGCGAAGTCCGTTCCAACTCCGGCAACGCCGTTTGCGCCGGGTTCGCCATTTCCAGGAAGCGTATCGAGATGCCTGCAAAACAAGAGCAAAAAAAAATCAGTAAACACACCAATGAAACTGAGCTTCTCCCCGTCCCCGCTGTACAATTCCCTTTGGCTGTGTGGCTGGGCTACACTTCCCTCGCCACGCACACACGCACGTACACAGTGGAATGAACTCCAAAGACGATGAAAGAGAGAGGAGACGGATGGGCAGGAAAACAGAAAGCGTTGACACACACACACACACACAACGCCACTTCACCATTGGACACGTCACTCAGTGAAAAGGGAAAGCGCCAAAACGGTTTCATTGTTTTCCTCCCCCTCGCGCTCTTCTAGTCCGCAAAACCCCGACTTGAGAATGAGCTCGGCAGACAAAAAAAAAAAAACACTTTCCACGTGAATCCCCACTAATTTCCATGCTGAGAACGCATATCGTGGCTCAGCATCAACGCAACCCGCTGCTGCAGGTTCCTCACCTGCTCCTCCAGACTTGTCTGCATCTCTTGCCATGAACGCGGGGGTCGGTCGCTGCTCAGCAACTCCCCTTCTGGCAACGACAACTGCTGGTGTTCGTGCGGATGCGCTGCGGCTGGTGGCGACGCGACTGAAAAGAGTTTTTCAAAGGGGTCAAAAAGAGTTCCGACAGCCGACCCATTCGCTCGCGAAGAAAGCGAAGGCGGCCACGCACGTCCCTCACGAGGACCCTCCTCGGTCTCCTTCTCATCGCCTTGCACAGGCGCAGGTTCGGCTGAAAACAACTCATCCAGCACGTCATGGTGCTGCTTGCCGCCCCCACTCAACTCAGGTGGAACGCCAAAAAGACTCACGCCAACGGGGTTGCCCACGGCGTGATGCGTCGCAAAACTCCCGGGGCCTCCGGCGAACCCCACCCCCGTCTTGTTTGGAGTCGCCGACACAAAAGCAAAGGCGCTGCCTCGCGTCTGCGCCTGTGTCGCGGGGGAAGGTCCCCCAAAAAGCTCCAACCGTAAACTACTTTTTACATCCAACACCCGACTCGGGGCGTTAAAAAGCATCAAGTCCGACGCATGTGACAACTCCAGTGACACGTGGCTAGTGCGCTGTGCCCCCCGCCGCAGCCCCTGCGGGTCTCCCACGTCCTCCTCTCTCCGTGGCCTTATCCCGTCCGCCTTCTTCAACCGTCGTTCCTGCAGTTGCACCTCCGCAAACTCCAAGGCCCCCGTTGCCGCAACTCCCGCTGCTGGCGAAAACTGCTTCTTTTCAGAATCGTCAGGAAGCCTGTAAAAACGCTTTTTTTCATATTTTGCGCGAATCCACTTGAACACCAGCTCGGAGTCCTCTTTCTCCAATGGCTTTCGGTAGTCTGCGGGAATCGTCGCCTCCCAGATCGTCTTGGCCCGCGCATTGCCCATTGCCCGCATAAAGGCGACCTGCTCCGGCTCCCACCAGTCCATGGTGCAGCTCTTCACCCTGCTCACGTGAACGCCAAGCTGCCGATGCAGTCCGCTGCAGCGCAAGCAAACAAAGACGCCCAGGTTGGTGCTAGCCCACGTCGGATTTCGTGCTTGGCAGTCCATGCATTCCTGATTCTCCTCCAGTCGCAGCAATTCACGCAGAGTGCGGCGGTGCCTCTCCCGCGCTTCCTTTGATTCTGCCGGCACGGAGGCCATGGCTGCGTCCGCCACCACGTTCGCCCCACACACGATGGCAAACGCGTCCCTGCAAGAGGAAATAAAGAAGAAGCAACAACAGCAGACAAAGAGGCGGGTCGTAAAGAAGAAGTGGCGGGTCGTCAGGAAGGAGAGTAAAGGTCCCAACATGCTGAACACGCAAAAAACTGCAAAGAAGAGAAACAAAGGCAACAACAACAAAAAAAAAGTGTGTCTGTTGCGGGGGGGGGGGGAGGGCAAGAAGGAAATGCAGACCAACATTGCTGGCTCGGGCTGACCCTTCTTTTCCCCCTTTAGTGGCAACCTCCTTTTTATCCAGTTTTTTTTCCCCTTCTACTTCTCCATTTTTCCCTCACTAATACAATCCCGGTACCGCACCCCGTTTGAGCTCACCATATTTATTTCCTTCTCCTTCCAGTCTACTCCAGCCACCCCTGCTATTCGCTTTCAATTGCAACAAGAAACCAAAAAAAGAAAAATAAAAAAAAAGTGACGAAGAGAAAAAACAAAATACACTTTTGGTTCCTTTGCTACTTCCGGGGTTTGAAACCACGTAATGTCATTACAGGCCCCTTTGGCGTCACTACATGTGGGCGGGACGCAGCGAGAGGTCATTCGTGGAGGCGACAAACAAAGTGCAACTCCCACTCGCCTCGCACGCTAGCGCGCCATAAGGAACCGCAAAACAGTCGCCTTGGGTCACCGGTGTCCCATTCACGCGACCCTCGCCGCCCACACAGAAGCCCAGCCCAATGCTTGGAAGCCGCACATATGTCTTGCTCGTCGTGTGCGCCACGTGTTGCAGGCGAAAGAGGGAGAAGTCAGGGAACTGCGCCGGCGGACAGTAGCGTTGCACCTCCCACGATTCCCCTCCTGCAGCCCGGTGGCGCTCGTACCTCGCCCGCTCCAGGCCATTGGTACTGTAACGCAGCATCTCGAGCAACGTGGGCACATCCTTCCATTTTGGCGTCAGTCCAGCACGCACAACGTTGTCGCTGTTGGCCATGATTTCCACGCCATCTCCGCAAATGTACGCATGCGGCTCGCTGTCTGCCAAAAACAAAGCCTGACCGGGCTCCATCTGTACATAGTTAAGGAAGTAAACCATCCAGCACCCAATATCATCTGGATACTGTGACATAAGAAGCAGAAAGAGACGATCCTCCGTGGAAGCCGCCTCTCCTTTTACTCTCAGAGCCGCCGCGTGTTCCCTGAGGGCCTTTTTCTGCAACTCCGGATTCAGACCGTACACAGCACGCATCATGGCCTTGATAACGCTCTTTTCCCCCTGCTTCGCCGATGCCGTGGCGACGCTGCCAAGCTGCGCCTTCAACGGCTTTGCAGATTCCACCAGACGAAGAATTTCATGCAAGGGGCGAAAGCAACAAAGGGCTTCAAAACGCGTAAGTGCCACAACCAACTCCGGCTTGTGGTTTGGGTCCTTGTATTTGCTGGGGTTCTCGCGGTGCAGCTTCGCCGCCAATCGCTTGTTGGGGTGCGCCTGTACAGAAAGCGCCGTCTGCACCGACAGCACCTTGAGTAGGAACGGCACCTTGTTGCGGAACTCCGCGTTCCGCTGCTGCGCCGGGGAGAAAAAGCGGGCTGCGACGCTCGGCTGGCGAAGGTACTCCTCCAGCGGCTGCCCGGACCGCAGGTGCGAGGGGCAGTTCACGTGCGTCCCGACCCACAACTCCGCGTACCTGCGGTCGCCCTCCGCCTCGTGCTTCATCCTCGCCACAAAACTCTCCGCGGCAGTTTTCCCCCAGGCGTAGTGCTGAACGCCGCAGTCCAACTTCACGCACTCCGCCATCGTGCTGTCGCCGCTGCAAGGACGCCGAGAGGAGCTAGCGGACGGAGAAAAAAAAAATGACACTTGTATTTCTTCCTGCCGCGCTGAGAGAGAGAAGCCACGGGAAGGTGAAGGAACAACAGCACAAACCGCGGCCAGCCACGGCAACCGCGCACGTCAGAAACGAAAAGAAGCCAAAAACGACGACAACAACAACAACAAAACAAAATTAATAATAATACCGCCACTTTCAATGCACCCGGCACCTGCTGCAGAAGAGAAGCGACAACACCTTAGCAACAGCAAAGCAAAATAGAAATCCCGCGGCCCCTCCCAAAAGAAGAAAAAAAAAGCAGAAAAATTCACAAGGCAAAAATAAATAAAAACAATAATAAAAGTCCCCCTCCCAAACAGACACGTCGGCAGTTAATCAACATTCAGCACGGCAGACTCAACGCGGTGTCCGGACACCGTTAGCTCACAAGCGCCATTTCTGTTTCAAACGCCCAGAGCGACGCCGCTTCCACTCCGCGCAAAACAACGAGAGATTTGGCAGAGGCGTAGAAAACGCGGCTGCTCCTTCGGGGGGCTGAGGCTGCTCCTTTCCTGTGCGTGCTCGCCTCCACGTGGTCCACTTCGCCGCCGCCTCAGCCACGGGCGGAATACCGGACATAAAACGCAGAGCACCTCGGTGCACAGAGACCATGCGGGGCGAGACATTGATCATTCGAAACTGTGAAAATCGCTTCACGCGGCTTGCAGCAACGTAAATGAGATGGTCGCAGGGGAAAAATCCGCTGCCGTCAAAAAGGACTGGATGATCAAACGTCAGTCCTTGAACCTTGTGAACGGTGTAGGCGTATGCCGGGGTGAGTGGCATAGCCATGATGCGCACCGCGCCGAACCCCTCACACCGCCCCCACGGCAGCGGCAGGGAGACCCACGGTATGGCCACCTCCCTGCCGTCCGAGTCCATCCGCACAACGGGAACAATCGCCACTGCATTGTCACCGCTGCAGGCCGCTCGCCCCGCCCGCGCTGGAGCACACGTGTGGCTCGAATGCCACTTCGCGGAGTTCAACGAGGAATACTGCCTCGGCGACAGGAGCACCTTGAGGTTCGTGGGGAGAAGGTGCTCGACGTGGCGCAGCGGCTGGAAACTGACAACAGTCCCAAGCGAGCCGTTCACGTAATTGACGTTGAGGTTACGCAGCAACATGACGCGGCATCCCACCTTCAGTCGCTTGTGCTGCAGCACCTGATCGCGTTGGATAACTTTGGCATACCGCCGCTCTAGTGAGAGCCGGAGAAAACGCCTCAGCGCGTCGACCTTTCGCACCTCCCAAAGAATGGTCCCCCAGTGCTTACGGGCCGCCGCGGCATCCTTTGAGTTGGCGAGGAATTTTTCGCCAATCGCGGACCGCAGCGCTGCCACTGAAGCCGCCGCCAGACTCTTCGTCGGTCCTGCAAAGGAGACGTAGACCGACAAGTGATGCGAGTAGCGCGCAGGGGCGGGCGGTATCATCACCCTCGCAGGGCCGCCCAGCCCGCGCTCCAAGCATAACTGGTGTACCAACTCCTCCGCCCGCCGCCGCCACTTCGCAGAGCGCATCGATTTGTTGCGAAAGTGGATCACGAGCATGTCGGGGTAGACGCTTCCGCCGCCCTCTTTGTGCCGCCGCGCGGGCGTCGCCGCCCCACTGCCACTCGTCACCCGCAACTCACTCCTGAAGCACCGCTCCTCCCCGGTTAGCTCAAGCATTTTAGAGGCATTGAACGCCGTCACAGCACTCTTCACGGGAAAGAGTCGGATGGCGTCAGGGTCCTCGGGGTTCTGCAGAGCAGAGCGCGACAGCCGGTGCGTCAGGACTCCGAAGCGGAGTTTGTTCAGGTCCTCAAGGTACGCCGGGTCTCCCATCTGGCGCGCGGGCTCCAGCAGCCGCAGGTGAAGCAAGCAGTGCTGGAAAACGGGGCTTTCGTAGGCCGGACACTCACAATAGTGGCGCAGCAATCGGCGGCGGTTCTTCACAGAGGAAAGAGCCGCTTCACGTGTAGTATGGAGACACGGAGCTCCAGCATCACACTTCTCCTCTGCCAAAACGGTGTGCAGCTCTGGCTCTTCCAAAAGTGCCGCAGACGCGGCGCCCTTTTTTTCCACGCCGGTGCAGAACAGCCGATCGGCCTTGTCTCTTGACCACAGGCGGCCGTGCATGAGTTGCAAGAAGTCACCGGAGAGTATGACCTGAATTCCACCAAATGGTTGATCCTGTGACCTACCAGGCGCCGTGCGTGCCGCCAAATCCAACGCCTCAATGTAGCCAGCGTGCAAAAGCGACACCTCATCCACGATGATAACGTCTAGCACCGCCAACGACTCGGCATCGTACCAAATGTGGGACGCCGCCTCCCCTTTTGCTGACTCCTTCTCATCGTCAGAGGTGACAGGAACACCAAACGTGCTATGAAAGGTATTCCCACCAATTCCAAGCGCCGAGATACCGGTGGATGCCGTCACAGCCACATTTAAACCTTTGGCCTCAAGTGCTTCGGCGATACAGCGCAGCAAAAAGGACTTTCCTGTGCCAGCATCACCACCGATAAACAAGGGAGCTCCATCCAAGGCAAGTCGTAGCGCAATCTGCTGCTCTGCAGAAAGACATCTGTTCGCCGCTTTTTTACCTGCCTCCGCGCACAGCTTCTGTTCGCCCTCCCTTGATGCATTGTCGTTCCCCGACTTCGGAACGCCCAAAGCAGCTGCTGCTTCCTTGCTTAAAGACGAGCGTCTCGTCGAGGAACTCTTTTTACCGGATAACTGAGAAGCACACGGTGGTTGTGACGATCGACGTTTCTCGTGAAGCAAGTAAGAAGGGCCCTCCGCACCCTTTTGCTTCGCATGGGCGTCGTAGGGAAGGATCACTTGCGGGGCCGTACAACGGGGGCGTTTCTGCAGCAACTCCGGCAAAGAAGTGGGGATGCGTCGCCCCAACGCTCTTGTGACTGCAAACAGCATGAAGCTCTTGTCTATGGATGGCGCAGTAACACGCACGGAGGTGAGGCGAAGACAACAACAGAAGAAAACGCACAAAACAGAAAAAAAAATAAAGAAAAACAAAACGAGAAATAATTATAAACGCAGGTGGTAGCATCACATTCGCCCATTGCGTTGAGAATGTAAAAAAGCGGTGCCCAAGTACGGGCCACTCAGCATATTTGTTCAAAGAAGGTTCTAAGACGAAGAAGAAGAAACAATCAAATCTAGTCATGCGGGGCAAATCTAATAGGCAAATAGGCATTACCAGTTTGGGGCGGCACGCCACAAAGGTGAGGATTGACGCGCCGGCAAAGACCTTGACGATGACCTCGTGGAGGCAGACCTCTGCGCGCGTGACAGACTCTTCTCGTCTGGTTTCACGGCGGGGGAAGAGCGTCGCCGGAGGTTGGCGCGCAGGTCAAGAAGCTGCTTGTGTTCATCAGGAGAGAGGTAAACGGAGTGGCACCGTGTTTCTGGCAGCGCGCACTCCCCTGTTTCACCACGGGACACGATGATGCCGCGCAGACGCATGAGCGCAAAGACCTCGGCGCCTGTCAACACATCTAAGACGGTTCGTTGTGGAACTGTTTTGAGCGGAAGTGCGGGCTGGGCACCTCGGCACGGGCTCTCCCGTCGGGAGTCAACGGCGTTAGGACGGCGCGGTGTCTGAAAAGACCTCCTCTGGGATGGGCGATTCGCGGTGCCCTCGCCGAGGAGGAGGGAGGAGGAACGTGCAGAAGCATCCCTCGTCGGTGGTTTACGGGCGGCGCGCTTCTGGCGATGCCCTTTGTCGTTAAGGGAGGCGTGCGCCAACGCCGCCGCCCCCTGCGGAGCTGGCGAGGCGAGCCGTTGCTTCACGCGACAAATGGCATCAGCCGCCGCGCGCTCGTTCGGGGTGGCTGCCTCCACCGTTTGCCGCTCGGTCCCCCCTTGTGGCCCTTCCTCGCCACCACCCAACTCCGTCTGCGCCGCGCCAAGCACCGCGTCCTTCACCGCATCGTCGGGCGCACATGCGAGGAGCGTAGCCTGGCCACCTTGCCGCGCCTCCTGCAGCTTTGGAGACGGCGACCGCGCAGCGCTCCCGGTGCTGGAGAGCGGGCTCCTGCTTGCCCCCGCCCTCCGCAGCTTCTCCCGCAACCGCGCCTGAACGGCCTGAAAGGGATCAAACCCGCCACCTCGCTCAGGAGTCAACTCCGACGCTGGGGCTGCCGCGGCACGCGGGGTGAGGCAATGACCAGAGCACGAAAGGGCCGATTGAGGGGAACTAGACGAAGAGGCTGGAGCCCTCCTCACAGGTCTGGCGGACGGCTGCTGATAGGACGCGGCCGACACCAACGCACTTCCGCGGAATTCTGCTGGCGGGGCCGCCGGCGTCGGATCGTAATACGTGTGTCCCTGCGGTCCCACCTGCATTTTCTCCCTTGACAAAAACGAGGCCGTCGCACTCCAGTGGCAGCCGAGCCGCTGTGGCATATCCTGACAGCTCTCTCTCTGCGCCGCCTCACGCTTCGCCAACTCCACCAGGCGGCTCATATCCCCGGTTGGCGGGGGCGTTGCACTCTTTACTGTGACGCTCGTGTTGGCATCACGCTCCACCAACGGCGGCGCGCTTCGCCCAGCGTCGTTGATCGCGCAGACTGCAGGCGGGCAACCGGCCTCCTCATCGTGATGAAAGCTCAGGCTGAGGTTTGCCAGACGCTGGCGCACCTCGTTTATTTTGCTCTCCACCTCCGTCAATCGCGCCGAAGACATGAGCCCGCCACCTCGCAGGGACGAAAATGAAGTAATAAATATATGTGCTTCTGTACAGAACCGTCGCCAGAGGCGCCCACAGCCGCAGCAAAAGTGGAGCATAAAAGCCAAACAAAAATAAATACATAATCAGTTGGAATAAGCAACAAAGGCAAGAAACAAAACAAAAAAGACATGCATGCATGAATTACAAATGTACTTTTGACGGTTGGGGAAGTTTTTTTGTTGTTGTTTTTGTTGTTTACTTTTTAGCACTCAACTTCAATGGAGGTTGGTGACAGCAACAGCGGAAGCAACGCGCGGCCCATATCACCTGGACGCCACTTGACAGATCTTAGCTTCCAGTTCCCGCCACACGGGTAAAAACCGCTTTCCATGCTCCAAAACATTGATGATATCCAAGTTGGCATGGAATTCACACTCAACGACGTCACGCGTGGCTTTCCTGCCGCGCTGACGACGGTTCACGCGCGCCGCTTGAAGCATCTCGCGGTCCCCGCTCAGCACAATCACCGGCATGTGCGTCATGGCCTGCGCAACCTGCAGAATCACGCCATCCGCCCCTTGACGTTGGCCACCGCACGGGGTAAAATGACATCGGCCCGCAGAGACAAGGCGCTGCCAAACACTCGGTCTTCTGCCAGCCCGATGCTTACGTGTTGGGTTACCCGCATCCTGGGGGATGCTCCGCGAAACGCTCTCCGGACACGGCAGTTCCCCGTGGTACCGCGGGAAGCAGGAGCCGAAAAAACACCACATATACATGTGCTCAAAGACGTCAAATTCTCCGTCCTCCGTCATCGACGTAGGGACCGACCTGAACTGATTAAAGCCGTAGTTGTCCAAGTCAAGCAACACTACGACCACCGCATTATTGCCGCCACGCTGCCGCAGCTTGGCCAACTGCGCGGAGACGCGCAGCGTTTCGCAGCGCACGCAGTGACACTCGTTGCTTAGCCACGAATCGCCATTGATAAGCCGGGCGTCGTACAAAGACGCGTCGTCATCGGCGGTGCCTGCCACGCACGAGAACCCCGCGTCGCCCGGCCTATGCAAACGGACAACGCCAGCCGCCATACTGCCCTCCAACGCCTCGGGGCGGTCGCGGGAGCCGCTGTCCTCAGCCGAGCCGCGGGCACTGTCGGCGTCCTCAAACCCAACCTCAGCAAACATCACCCACACGCAGCGGAGGCTGGCGGGAAGGATGAGCCACGGCCACGGGTGGCCCGACTACGAATGCAGTTATACGCGACCGAAAGGAAGGCAGGACAAGGGCAAAAAATAAAAAATAAAAAATACAAAAAAAGTTTTCATAGAGTTCCAAGCAGAAACAAGGTCAGAAACAAAACTCAACTCATATCTCACATTGATCTCCAACGCATCAATCACGGGCGTTTGGGGCGCCTCCATGACGGCGCTTAATAAACAGTCGGTCAAGAGCTTTCACTCGTCGCGTGGCCGTTTTTGACCCGCTTTCTTTCCACTGCTTTCTAGAGCAGAATGGCGCCCGCCGAAGGCGCCACGTACTCGCGCCGCGTCAAGAAGTCCCACCTGGCGAGTCCCAAGCGCCCCTCTTCCCTCACCCGAAAGGAACTCAATCCACGCATCTGTTACAAGGTCAGCCATCGAGGGCGGCGAAAGCCGCCGCAAGGCTTGATAGTGAGAGTGCAGCGCAAGGACCAAATCCACCGCAGCCACAGGGCCGCCCCTCAAATGAGATAGCGAACGGCGAAAGCAACTCAGCAGGCTGAGCATACACATCGTCCAATCTGACAAGGCGGCGGCGTCGGTGTCCCCCGCAAGCAGTTGCATCTGCTTAAAGCCGGCCTCTACGGCAGGAATCAATATTTGCCTTGCGTGCATCACAACCGATACCTCATCGCAAAGAAACAACAACTGCACTTTTACAACATCGGTCCGCGCAGCAAGAAGTGCCGGGACAGGGGCACAGGTAGGAGTTCCAGCAGTCGCTGCAGTTGCCGCTGCCGCTGCCTCGGTGCAGCGGTGTTGAATGGCGCTAAGGAAAGTGCTCACGACGGTTCGTTCCAGCCAATCGCACACGGTTTTCTTCGCATCCCGCTCCAACTGTTGCTTGTCGCCCCTAGACGAACGCCGTGAGGCAGCCGCAGCAAGGTACACCTCGAGGCATTGCTGAACAGAGAAAGCCACTACCTTTACAGCCTCCAAGGCGCCTGCCACATCCGCTGCGAATTCGTCGTGGCAGTAATGGAACACCACCCACTTCAGAAGTTCGGTATGTCGCTCCAGCACAAAAGTCCAGAGGTCTGCATCGAGGAAGAGGGGGATGTCGCCCTGGTGCCGCTCACGCGTATATTTTTCAAACCACTGAAGAAACATACGAAGGGCAACTTCCACACGCGCAAGATCCACCGTGGCGGGGAACGGCTCCTTCTCCAATATGCGGCGCATTGTCACAGCGAAGGCCAAATCCGGTCTACCCACTTTTTCCTGCAGGCATCGGAGAAGCAGGTCAGTCAACTCGTTCCCGGCATCATCGTAGACGCCTTCGTCGGCTCGACCCTCGTTCTCTCGCCTCAACTCGTACTGAAACAAATCACGGGCCTTGCAACACCACGCCCCGTTGAGTGTATCCTTCGCCCGCTTCTCCAGCGACTTTCTCTTCCCCTCGTTTACCTCAAAGGAGGAGTACTCGTCAAGGAGTCCCCCTCCCTCGAGTTCGATCGAGGGAACACCGAAATCCCGCTTGAAACTGCGTCGCACAAGCGCCTCTGCCGCCTTCTCATCCCGCTCCAGCAGGAATGTGTCGGTAAGCCACTGACGTTCGCTTCGACCAACCACGGCGTAGAAGCCAAAGAGATGCGCGGCGTCGTGGGCGATACGCTGAAATTGGTAAAGTACAGAGAAGCAACGACGCCTGAGACGAGCAAGGGACAAATCCACGTCCTCGGTGCCGACTTCGTCCTCCTCCAACGACGCATCGTCATCGACACTTGCATCGTCAACCTCCTCGGATGCCGCGGCCGCGGGGAGAGAGGCCAGGTGCAACTCCAGACGGAGGGCAACACTTGAGCAGCATCCCCAGAAAGCCACAGCGAAGCATTCTTGTTGAGCTAGGAGAAGCCGACGACACAGCGTGGCGAGTGGTCCTGCCTCTGCGCTGGATGATTCGCCCCTGAAAAAGCACAGCCCTTCACGCCACTGTCGCCAGCGAGTAATAGGAAGCACCGTCAGTCGCACACATTTGCAGTAAACATTGTGGTAGTGGCGCACGGACTCACCCGCGGAGTGAACCGACAAGGACGTCACAGGCGGCAAGATGGTGGCGTCACTTTTGGCCTTTTCCAGCGCCTCTAGCGCCGCCTCCCACCTTTGGAAGGAGAGGCAAGGAGGGCCACTGAGTAAGTCGGAGCCGATGGAGCAGAACTTGATTACCTCCTGTCGTGACCGAATGCTGCGAAGGGCGGCCATGCTGTACCCCAGAGGCGTTGACAAACGTATGGCGGGAGCCCGCTCTTCTTGCCTCTCTAATGATGTCTCTCCGCTAGCCAACGCAACCGCAAAAACACACATGCAACCCCCCGCAGTAAAGAGGAGGACACGCAGAAGTAGAATAAAAAATAAATAACAGGGAGGCCGCAACGGCACAGCGCGGAAGAAAACACCGGCAGTACGCGGCACCCGCAGACATAATCAGTTGCCTGGAGCCACGTCTGTCGGACTCCGACATTGAGCCCCTGAAAGGTTCGGAGGAGCCGCCGCTCTCGCACTCACTTTCTGCGTCTCCGCCTTTCGCTGCAAAAAAAAGGAAAAAAAACGAGGCGGGGGGGGGGGGGGGGATGTAAAAACCGGGACATGACAACGCATTCGCAGGCCGCAATCTTTATTGCTTCGTTCGTTTTATTTCTATCTCCCCCCGCGGCTTCTCATTCGACGCGCTCTCAGTGTGGCCAGGTTCTATGTGCATCAGTGTGAGGTTCTATAGATATGCAGGCAGCCACCCAAATCCGGTGGCGCGAACATTACGAAGCAGAGGAAATATATGTATCAAGCTAAGGCACGAAAAGTTCACTCTCATTTCTTCGCGCACGCCATCTTCGTGAAGAAATCGGAGAGCTTCATCTGTACCCGCGGCCTCGGTGCTGCCTCGGTGCCCTTCGCCCCCGCCGTTGCAGCTGGGGGGGTGTCAAGATTCTTCGCCGCGCCAACAAAAAGCGTGCGAGAAACATGGCTCACAACGGCGGGAGAGCGCGGTGCGTTGTCGGGAGTGCAAGAAGGGGAGGAGTGTGCCCCCTGCGTCATTGGCGAGCCTGACGAGGTGTTCGGCAAGGTGTCGGGCGAGACATAAATGCTCTGCGAGGCGGCCATTACGCATTTGGCAACCGTCTGTGGCGAATCCCGCTGTCTCTCCGAGGAATTCAGTGAGCCCTGCGACGCCGTGACCCCGGGACGTTCCCTGAGCCGAGGCGGGGAGGCGTCTACAAGTTTCACGGACGCGCGTTCCGCCCCAAACGCAAAGGCCGCCATCTTCTCCATACCGTCTCCACCTCGGAGCGGAATTTCAAGCGGGGCCGAGAAACCTCCGCTGTGATTAGTGCTGCTGCCGGAGTTGTGCTCCTCCGCACGTTCCTGCAGAGTCGCGTTCATTTCTTTCCCGTCGCCTGCCGCCGGTGTTAACACATGACGTTCTACCCGCGTGACCTTCCGCGGGGGGGCGAAGTCCTCATCGTCCAGCAGCAGCCCCATCCTTCTCACCTTCGCCCGCAGCAAGGGCAGAATGCAAAACAAAACAAAAAAAAAGAGTAGCAAAAAACAAAGAGCCAAATCTACACACGCGCCCCCTCCTTTTACTCAACTCAAGGGGAATCACGCACCACACACCACGGAGAGAGAAATGTGGAGTGCGGGCTGCAGGCGCGGCAAATCGGACGCCGTGGACGCCGAGGGTAAAAGACTTTACAAGATCAGAACTTAAACGCCAAGGGCAGAAATACAAAAAAGAGAAGCGGAACGTAAATGGGCCGCATCACACGTGAAGCCAACCATGACGAGGCGGCGCTTCTAGTGAGTCTAGTGTAAAAAAAAAAAGTTGTACAAAACACCAACCCAAAGAAAACAAGAAAATATTTAAAAAAACGTATCTCAACATGGTTGTACAATAGTTCCCTCTGTGTTTGTTTTTCTGTCTTCTTTTTTTTCCCCCCGTAAAAGGTTTCTAGCGGATTTAAACACGCACTTCTCAGAAAAGCAGCGGTGATTTGCTCAAGAAGGAATCCGCCGGGGAGGCCTCCAACGGCACATTAAACCCTTTGAACTCTGGCGGGGTGCCGAAGAGAACCTCCCTACACGTCTTTTTCGCCGTCGATTGCAGAATGGTGGAACGGTCATCTGATGAAAGCGTCGTCTTGCCGTCTGTGGCGGTGTAGCCCTGCAGCCCCGCTGCAAAGGCAGGAGAGACCGCCTTCGGTGTTTGCTGCCCCTCTGACTGCAAATGAGGCATCTTCGCGTTGGCCTTCCTCACACTAAACTCGTTGTGATGATCCACAGCGGCGACTTTAGCCCCGGCGGCGTGCCAGTCCGATGCCGCCTTCTCTGTCTTGCCACCCTTCCTTGGAACCGCAACCGCTCCGCCACGTATAACCTGCATTCCTCTCGGCAAGCGCTGGTCCACCTTCACCTTTATGTGCCGCTGCGTCATCGCGTTGAAGTGGTCCACGATGCGCATCACCTGCTTTCGGTAGAAGCGTTCAAATTCCTCCGAGCTCTGCGGCTGAAGCGCCAACTCCGCCATCTCTGCAGGGATTTTGTGCCTCTTCTGCAGTATGTAGTTGAGGCGGGCCCCATGGTTATGCAGCGCGTGGGCGTCAGGCGGGAACGCGCGAAGTTCAGCAAAGTAGTCCTCGCTGTTAGAAAGCATGATCCGCCCGCCAATCCGTGCAGTTTCAGTGCTCACCGCCTGCAATATCCTTCTTTTGTTGTTGTTGTTGCTGCCTGGCGTATGCCCCGCCGTACGTGGGGGTGGGGGGAAGGCTTTAAAAAAAGCCCTTGCAAACAGTCTTTCCATACAAAGTGGAGAAGAGCGAAGAGAAAAAAAAAGTAAACACACACACACACACGCACGCTCACACTGCACCGCAACGAAGAAGAACAAATAAACAGGAAGGCGAATCCAGTGCAGGTTGCAATGCACCACCCGCAGTCGCACGCAGTTTGTCCACCGCACCCGATTCACTAATGTTTATTCATGCGGCAGAGATTGCAGGGTGACTCCATCCGTGTTTGCCTCCTTTGTTTTTTTCTCTTCCTCGGGGGAGACACAAGCCCCCTGCTTTTTCGCCGCGCGCGGCACACTCTCGGCCCCTCGCCAACGGAGGGAACCGTGCAGCGCCGCAGGAGAAGAGCGAGAGCGCGTGCTGGCGCAAAAAAAAAAAACTCTTTCATAAAAAGCCCCCCTTACGGGAAGCGTTCAACCTCTCCGCTTCAGCGCTCCGGCCTCTAACCCACCCCATCAAGCTCGAAGCTACAAACCCAGCGGAATCGTATCACGGCGCATCGCACAAGGAATTCCGCTCAAAAATGGCAATACCCCGTTCGTCTTCAAACGTCAATGCAAACCGCTCCCCTCCATCGGCGATGGAGGCACACGCCACCTTGTTGACAAGCGGCGGCGGCAGTCCATTGGGCACCGTCGCGTTATTGCCCCTCACAGCCGGCAGCCTCCACCCCCGTTCAAAGGCAGCACTCACCTCGTCAAGAGCCGTGCGACCGCCGTTTTCCACTTCGCAAAGTAGTGCCTGGGGGTCCACGCGGTAATACGCCAAGACATCTTCCCCAGCCACACCTCGCTCAAGAAGCGGCTGCCAGACCGCCGCAGCGCCGTCGTACAGTCCGGTGACAACAGTGCCAGAAACGTGGTCCACTACAACAGGGAAACGGTCAAAAATGGCATCGTTGTCGTAAAGGGATTCCAGAAATGGTGAAATGTAGTCCATGACAGAAGCAACGGAGCAAGGCACATCTGGCCGCCGCAGGTCCCAGAGCTTCAACGAGGTATAGTCACGGCTCACGACATGTTGAGGGCCCACAAAATTAGCGCCAGATATACGACAAAGAATGTCACCGTATTGTTCATGCGTCGAAGCCGTGGCGTCTTCTGCGACGCGGATGTAGGTGGCATATTGACACTGCGAGCCTGAAATTGTCTTGCGCAGATCCCCAATGCCGAGAGCCCCAGGGCTCTTAGCAACCAAAAAGAGGGAGCTGTGAGTGGGGCTAAAAGCAACGGAGGTGACCAACTCCTCCACGTCATCCATGCACCCTGACGGAGGTCGGCAGTCCGTGACGCAGACGCCTTTTGACGCGTCGCAGCTCTCCAAGCTCCACCAAAAAACTTGCAGGTCATCGGCGCTTAGAAAGGAATGCCCATCCGCGCAAACGCTAAGGTCCTGCACAGCGTTACTGTGGCAGCCCGCAAACACACGCACGGGAAGAATAGGCGGTGAAGGTGAGGCACGAGGAAAATAACGTGTGTGAGCGAGGCGCCTCCCCACCACCGCCTCCATGGAGGGAAAGGCATGAAACGGCGTAAATCCCTCGCGCTGAACTCGAAACAGTTTGATAACCTTCTCATTCGCAGTCAAGTAGCTTACCGTGTGCGGGGAGGCATGCGACGGTAGGAAACGAACAGCCGTGACGGCTTGGGAAATGGTGACAGAAGTGAGGCAGTCCATTTCTCGCACGTACGCCTGATGACTGTGCTTTCGCACAGGCGGCCTATGAAAACCGGCAATATCACGGCACAGCATAGAAGTGTCCGAGGGGAGCGAGGTACTATAACTCACCAAATCAACATCGGTTTGACTGCGACTCCCAAGGGTAGTGTTCGACCTGCTCTGTGGCGCATACGTTGTCGGGGACCGTGTACGTGCCGTGTGACACACATCCAGCTCCGCATAATTCACGCGCCCAGTTGCGTCACCAACACAGAGGGCGAGCACAGGAGAGCCATGAACAGGGTCAGGCATCATACACATCGCCATTGCGCTGGCGCAGCTCTCTACGGTCTCGATATCATTTCTCACGACGCTGAGGGTGACGCCACCCTCTAAGTTGTTTGCGGCGCGAAGCTCGCCCGTCGCCTCATATTCGGCATCATCATTAACCACGTCGTGCACCGAACTTCCGCCAGAGTCACTCACCACGGTTCCTGGCACATCCAATGGATAAGACAATTTTTGCAGCAGTTTAAATGATCCACCTGCGGAGGGCACAGAATGGTACAAAGCTAATTCTATTTCATCCGCTTCGTTGGCATGGGCAATGCATGTAGGCGTCCCTCCCCTCACCTTGCTTCGGCCTCCGCCAGTTCCCGTCGGCAATAAATGCGTATTGTTTGCCCCAAAATCATACTGCCTTGTGCGGTCGCTGGCAACGACACCTGCTGCTCCACCGTTCAGCACTTCGGCAAACTCCGCCCTCCTCTCATCACGCCTAGGCGTGGCTCCAGGAGAACTCCGCAAGGAGTGTCCCTCACGGCGTCGCTGCTGCACCTCACTGCCCACGCGAGAGGAGCGGCCCGACCTCGGCGAACGCATCAATGACTCACGTGTCCGGTGTGGGGCCTCACTCCCCGCGCGAGAGCTTCGACACGAGGAGAACACCTCCGCCTGAATCTCCGGCGAGGGTGACCTCAAACCATTCTGCTCCGACATCGCGACACCGAACTCTCTTCTCCTCCTCCCACCCGGACGCCCACACACACTTTAGCCCACTATATCCCTCTCTCTCTCTCTATATATATATATATATATATCTTCTAT